TGACTAACTAGGTTGAATATTTTATTTATTATCAGGGAACTTATTTGCAAGTTGGATAGATCTACTAATGGGAACGATAGTTGACTGTTGGATGTTATATCCAAGAAATCTAACTGTGGTTTGAAACAACTTAATTTTACTAGAAGAGATGACTAGACCATTATGCCTAATAATCTCTAGGAATGCATTAAGATGTTTCTAATGTTCTTCTATAGATTTAGAGAAGATGAGAATGTCATCTATATAGACTATAGAAAAATGACTAACTAGGTTGAATATTTTATTTATTATCAGGGAACTTATTTGCAAGTTGGATAGATCTACTAATGGGAACGATAGTTGACTGTTGGATGTTATATCCAAGAAATCTAACTGTGGTTTGAAACAACTTAATTTTACTAGAAGAGATGACTAGACCATTATGCCTAATAATCTCTAGGAATGCATTAAGATGTTTCTAATGTTCTTCTATAGATTTAGAGAAGATGAGAATGTCATCTATATAGACTATAGAAAAATGACTAACTAGGTTGAATATTTTATTTATTATCAGGGAACTTATTTGCAAGTTGGATAGATCTACTAATGGGAACGATAGTTGACTGTTGGATGTTATATCCAAGAAATCTAACTGTGGTTTGAAACAACTTAATTTTACTAGAAGAGATGACTAGACCATTATGCCTAATAATCTCTAGGAATGCATTAAGATGTTTCTAATGTTCTTCTATAGATTTAGAGAAGATGAAAATGTCATCTATATAGACTATAGAAAAATGACTAACTAGGTTGAATATTTTATTTATTATATTTTGAAATTCACTAGGTACATTTTTTAATCGAAAGAGCATTACATTTTATTCATAATGTCCAAAAGGAGTTGTGAATGCCGTTTTATATTTATCTTCTGGGGATATTTGGATCTGTCAGAAGCCGCTCTTTAAATCAAATTTTGAAAATATTACTGAGTTACTAAGTCTTTTGATTAAATCTTGTTTATTTGGAATTGGGTACCTGATCCATTTCAATACAGAATGTAAAGGCTTGTAATTAATTACTAACCTTGGAGCTCCTCTTTCTAATTTTGCGTTTTTGATGACATAGAAAGTTGGACATGACCAAGGAGATTTACTTTTTCTAATGATACCATTTTTAAGTAATTCATAACTTTTTTTTTTGCAAATTTTCATTACTTCATGGTTCATTTGGATAGGTTTTGACTTAGTTGGAATATTTTGTTCACTAAATCCTTTGATATAAGGAAGTTTTACCATGTGCTTTTTCCTATACCAAAAGGCTGTAGGAAGGTTAGAACACACTTCTGTTTCTAACTTTTCTTTAAATTTTTCAATCTTTTCAGTCAAGATTGGATTTTATAATTGCTTTTGAATTCTTTTACGATTAATTTCTTCTTTAAGAAATTTCACTTTATTATTTTTTTGGGTTATTAATTTAAGAGACTTCAAGATTGAATAATCTTTTAGTTGCCTTAATTTCTTAACTTGTGGTTTTGTTAAAAATTTAAATATTACTAACTGATCAAAGGTTTGGTGGTTACTCCTTCAATATCTGTTATAAAAGGATATATCAGGTATATGAACGGTACATCAAGAATAACTTTATCCGTCATATTTTGTACTAAGACAAATAATATTTTGAAACATACATTATCTTGACAATTATGCACATTTGGTAACTTATATTTTACTCCCATTTTACTACCATTTGCTACACTGATTCAATTAGTTATCTTTTGGTAGGTATAAACCCTTCTTGGATGCAGTTTAAATCTGTACCTGTATCAATTAGAGCTACTACTTCAACTTCATAATCGTTATTGACTACGAGTTTTACTTTTGAGTGACATTTTTGGATATTTAATCTGTTAATTAGATGTATCCTGTTATCATCACTTTTAGTTTGCAAACATTCTTCGAGAGAATATAGCTTCGTTACACCCAAAAGGATCCACTGAAAAGGTTGAGGTTATGGGTATCCACTGGNTGGATGCAGTTTAAATCTGTACCTGTATCAATTAGAGCTACTACTTCAACTTCATAATCGTTATTGACTACGAGTTTTACTTTTGAGTGACATTTTTGGATATTTAATCTGTTAATTAGATGTATCCTGTTATCATCACTTTTAGTTTGCAAACATTCTTCGAGAGAATACAGCTTCGTTACACCCAAAAGGATCCACTGAAAAGGTTGAGGTTATGGGTATCCACTGGGAACATGTTCTAGTTGAACTATATGAGTAATCTAGGTTATCCTTTTCAGTTTCAGATTGCTCTTTATGATCAGAGTCCTCTGATTTACTAAAGTTATTGTTTGCTTGTAAAAGATTTAAAGCTTTTTCAAGTTTTTTGTCTTGTGCTTTTAAATCCTTTATTTCTTATTTTAGCTTGTTAACTTCATGTTGGAGATCCTGTAAGGTTACTTCTTTCTTTTTTTCTTTACCGAATTTTTTCATTGTTTTATTAAAACTAATTAACAGTTTTTCACCAAAAGATTGTTTAAAATCTTTTTTGACAAACAAGTTTTTTAGCTGTCTAATGTATTTCACTTTTAACTTTGGATCTTCTAATTTACTAATGAGATCATTGAGGATATGTTCTTCCTCAGTTTGCTTAGTTATTACTCTAATTGTTTTGTAACAATTATCTTTAGATCCTAATTTTATATCAGGTTCATTAGAGTTACTCGATGCTGATTGATAATCTGAAGAACTTTTAGGATTACTTGAGTTATCTGAACTGTCTTCATTTTGGCTAAGGTTACTTAACTTAAAGATATTGAGAATTTCTTCTTGATCTTTTTTAGTTAAGTTTAACTGCTTTATTTTCTTTTTGATTGGGCATTCTGGGCTGATATGGCCTTTCTTGCCACAATTATAATATTCAATTTCTTTACTATGCTTTTTCCCTGGTTTTTTCTTATAAATTCTAGGCTTATAAGATTTCTTATATTTTTTACTAGATTTTCTATAATATTCTTGTTTTGAAAAATTCTTTTTACTCCGTTTGTAATATTATTTACTTTTACTATAAGGCTTATATGACTTTTGTTTTTTGCGAGATGGTGCTACTGAAGAAAGACTATATTGTTTACAGAAATCACTCATATCATATTTAACATTTTTCTTATCATCTTTCATTTGTTTGCTAATCTTATATCAATACACATTCTCACTACCACCACCACCACCAACAACACCACCGTCACTGTTGCCGCCGCCGCCACCACCACTACTGTCGCCATCCCACCCCCGCCACCACCACCACCCACCATAATTTTCATCTCATTCTTATATTTATTACCATTATCACTGTCATTCATTGTCAACACTTATCACTACCATTGTTGCTCGCTACCACTCATCGCCGCCCACTATCACAACCCACCACCCCCATTATTGCCCACCATTGTCGCGAGTCATTATCACCCACCCCCATCAAACTTACCACCACCAACCACTACCACCAACTACCATCAATCGTCATTGCCCACCACTGTCGCCACCCACTATCACCTACTCCTACCACACCTACCACCACCACCACNCCACCAACTACTACCACCAACTACCATCAATCGTCATTGCCCACCACTGTCGCCACCCACTATCACCTACTCCTACCACTCCTACCACCACCACCATCATATTTACCATAACTCAACATATTGTCGTCCAAAAGCACCCGTCGTTGCACACCACCTCTATCATCACTGCCCACCACCGCCACTGCCAACCGTCATCACTGTTGCCCACAATCACTATTGTTGTCACCCCATGACTATCACTATTACTATCGTCACTAAAAATCCACCACTTGCGTCACCATTGCCGCCCATGATTGCCACCATCACCACGGTCGTCGCTACCTACCACAACCATTACCGTCTCCCACCACCACCACTACCACCGTTCACCCCACTATAACTAGGNCCGTCATCACTGTTGCCCACAATCACTATTGTTGTCACCCCATGACTATCACTATTACCATCGTCACTAAAAATCCACCACTTGTGTCACCATTGCCGCCCATGATTGCCACCATCACCACGGTCGTCGCTACCTACCACAACCATTACCGTCTCCCACCACCACCACTACAACCGTTCACCCCCACTATAACTAGTGTTTAAATTCTTTTCTTTGCTCTATGTTTGTAATTTGATTTTGAGTGTGAATATAAATATATTTATTGTTAACAATTTTCTTTCTTATTTTGTACTTTCAAGCACAAGCAATAACTAATTTTTTATTATTATATCTTTAGTTTTCATCCAATAAAATTTTTATACGTGTTAAATCTGAAATTTTTTTGGGTGTCCTATATTTATTCAAGTTTTTGTTTTTTTTTTGGTCAGATACTTATCTAAGTTGAGTATTTCGATATTTCTCATCTCTATAATGATACTGAAAACTTTTGAAAATGTATTTGTACAAACTTAAACAACCACCATGATTGTTTAAATTCGATGACTTATTCTTTATGATTTATATTTAAACTTTTTAATCACAATAAATTTTGCTTATTTACATTTCAACTTTTAAGCACGATAACAAAAAAAAAAAAAAAAGTGTTTTGTGCGAGGTACCAGTACCTTAAAAAGCAATGAAACTTGGTAACTGCAAGTCTACAACACAAACCTACATAAAACTCGGTAACTACAACACAAATCAACTTAAATCTGGAACAGGGAGATAACCCAAGTCGTTTGGGCCCGGACCCGTAACCAAATGGGTTAGATCACAAACCACAAGGCCCAAAACCNAACACAAACCTACATAAAACTCGGTAACTACAACACAAATCAACTTAAATCTGGAACCGGGAGATAACCCAAGTCGTTTGGGCCCGGACCTGTAACCAAATGGGTTAGATCACAAACCACAAGGCCCAAAACCGGAGCCATAGCGTTGTTTTTGGGCTCTCAAACCTTTAAAGGGCTAGGGCACACTCTGGAAGTTCATCTCTGGCAACAGTGGCAAGCTTTAATTCTACTCTTCCGTTGTTTTGGTTCAAACATTCTAATCATGCTCTGTTTCATTTTTGTTCAGGTATTTGATTTTCTTTTTCTTTCACTCTTTTCGTTTATATATTTATTGCTAATCGCAAATTTCCAATCTGGATATTCGAGAAGGTTTTCGTTTTATCCTATTCATGTCCTGGTTGAATTAGTTATTGATTTTTTTATTTGATCGGTATTTTTTCTTTCTAGGATTAGATCAACTTAAATACAGTTGCTGATGCTGTTTTTGCTGACAAAGTTATCGGATGAAGATTTTTGATGATCATATATGTTTAATGCTCATGGCGCACTGCGATTTCTCAGAAATTTTAAGCCCATTTTGGCTTTATACAGTGGTCAGCCTTTTAGCTCTGCAAACATTGCTGTTAAAGGAGTACATTCCTTTCACCAATTCAAGCAAAAGAGACCCATTCGACAAATTAACAGAAAGGTGAAGAAATCTGTCATCTCAGTTAAGAAAGAAGATGTAGATCCTATAGCTTACATGAGGGATACAATTAGGAACATATCAAACATATTAAGGTATTCAGCTTGGGATTTTGCTCAAGAACAGTTAGAGAATCTCTCTATAAGATGGGATTCTTACACTATCAATCAAGTTCTCAAAACCCATCCTCCAATGGAGAAAGCTTGGTTGTTTTTCAATTGGGCCTCTCGGTTAAAACGCTTTAAGCATGACCAGTTTACTTATACTACTATGCTCGATATTTTTGGAGAAGCTGGGAGGATTTCGTCGATGAACTACGTTTTCCAGCAAATGCAAGAGAAAGGGATTAAGATTGATGCAGTTACTTACACTTCACTACTGCATTGGCTTTCCAATGATGGGGATGTTGATGGGTCTGTGAGGTTGTGGGAGGAGATGAAAGTTAACGGCTGTCGTCCAACGGTTGTGTCTTATACTGCTTTTATGAAGGTTCTGTTGGATCACAACAGAGTGAAGGATGCCACTGAAGTCTATAGGAATATGCTTCAATCTGGTTGCTCTCCCAATTGTTACACGTACACGATCTTAATGGATCACCTTGCTGGTTCTGGTGAGAGTGAGCCTGCTTTACGTACCTACCATTGCATCTTTATTTGCTACTTATTCTGTTTTGTCACGACATATGGTATTGTTCAAGCTTAAATTTTTTCGTGTTGAAGTCATTGAATAGATGTATGTACTTATTTGTGAATATATGACACAAGTCCATGACTTGCTTAAGTTTAGAGGCCATTACTTTGGTGCAGGGCCTGCTAGTTGTGGGGAAGGGAACTTAAGGAGGCCACCTTATTCACTTTCTGAACTCTCTGACTGCCACAGCTTTGTCCTTACCGTGATGTTTCTTTTTACTCAAATCCTTGATGTTTCACCATTGAACTCTTGAACTTAAGGGGAATTGTCCTCTGGTGAGAATAAACTCAAAAAGTATAACCAAATTTTGATTCACATAAACTGCAGGAATTTTGTTTGTAATAACGTCGATGTCCACTTAAGGTTTACGGGTTTTACTTTCATATATCTCTTACTTTTCAGCATCCCAACTCTGTGCTGTTTATGGGAATCTTGTATAGTTCTAAAAAGCTTGAAAGAAATAAGTTATTGTGNTCCACTTAAGGTTTACGGGTTTTACTTTCATATATCTCTTACTTTTCAGCATCCCAATTCTGTGCTGTTTATAGGAATCTTGTATAGTTCTAAAAAGCTTGAAAGAAATAAGTTATTGTAGCAAACTTTATTTATATATTTGAGATAAATTATGAAACCTCAAATAGTTTTGTTTTTACCACTTACATTGTTTGAAATGAAACAAATAATTTGAGGCCGTTAGTAGTTTTATGCTATTAAATCAAAAGGGCCATTGATAGATGATGCATAGCATAGAAATATGTTCAAAAACTGGGATGTTAGTATGGATGTGCAGCAACAAAATGAAAGATGGTACAAAAAGAATCCATTCGGGCGAAATAAGAGATGTTATTAGCTGGAGTTAAGAGGAGGAAAATTCATTTAAGGTACCATGCATACTAAACCTTTGCTTAAATCAGTATGAAGGGGTTATTTGGTTTTGGTGGAAAGCACCCAAAGAACAAAGAGAAGGTCAACAGACAAAATGTGATGAAAGACTTGAGTGCTTGGCTACTTCAAGGCAGTATCTTGCTTTTTAAAGTTTGAAATATTATATTTGGAGGAGGCATTCAACCATCATGGTGGTTGAGGTGATGTGGTCATGATAGAGGTGGTGTCCTTTGTGGTACACTGAAGGTTAGGAAGAAGGAGGTTGGCAGTAGAATTTTTCTGGTGTTATGGTGATGATAGAGGTGGTAGTGTTGGTGGTATTCTAGACGTTTTGAAAGAATGAAGCTGGTGGGAGCATTTTTTTTAATGTTGGTGTTTGCGTTAGGTTTTTACAAGGGAGTTGGATAGGGGTGCAACTCGGGTGGGTTGGACAATCAACCCTAGCCTAACTCTAGGTATATAATCTTCAACTTTAACCCTAACTCTAACCCTAACCCTACATCGGGTTGAGGAACTCAACCCGAGCACTACCCGAGTTTAATTCGGGCGGGCTCGGGTTGATGATTTCGGGCTGATTTTGGGTTACTTTACGGGTTCAATTCAGGTAGAGCCCAAAATAGGCTTGTTGTTCTAAACCTAATACATATATTACATAATATTCACTTAAATTAACAACCAATAACTTCAACTAAATTTTTAACGAGAGAGGCTGCAAGAACAAAAGAGGCAAAGAGAACGAGAGAGACAGAGAACGATAGAACAAAAATGAAAAACCAGTGCTAATGCTTTATATATATATATATATATAATTTTTTTTTTTAAANGAGACAGAGAACGATAGAACAAAAATAAAAAATCAGTGCTAATGCTTTATATATATATATATATATATATATATATATATAATATTTTTTTTTTAAATTGTCGGGTTCGGGTTGAACTCGGGTTCACGAGGCCTTAACCCGAGCCCAACCCAAATTGAATTCGGGTTAGAGTTTTTTGACCCAAGCCCAACCCAAGTATTAAAAACCCTTGTCTAAGTCCTAATTTTTTCGAGTTGGACTCAGGTTGAAATCGGGTTGCCCAACCCAAGTTGCACACCTAGAGTTGGAGGAGGATTTAGATACAGTTATTCCTGTGCTACTTAAAACTAAATTGGCATGACAGTTTTACCTCCAATTACATGCATGAGTAATTCCATGATGCAAATTAAAAAGTCTGACATATCAAACCCACCCAAGTGGAAATGCTGCACAAACTAATGTACTCAATTATGTACAGTTTACATGATCTTTATTGAAATTGTCAGGGCATTGTTACATCAATTTAAAAAAAATTGGACGATACACAGAAATTTTCCAATAAGTTCTAAAATGGTAGTCCACATATTTATCTGGATGAACTGGGTTATGCATTTGGTTTCGTGATTTTTTAATTCTTTGTTTCTCAGATTGTTTTGCTAGTGTTTAGCCAGTACATTTTAAGTTACCGCATATTATCAGTTGTCACTGCACAAGATTGTACCTAAAACTCTCAATGCCCTTTGAATTTTATTTTTAATTCAGATGTTCACTGTCATGCAAGTGCAATCTCAAGAAAAGATTACTTTGGTTATTGCATTATTCTTGTCATTGTTTGGCGAAGTGCATCGTCTGACTATATGCACAGTGAAAGCTCCGATACTCGATGCCTTCTGTGATAACTGTTGATGCATTTTATGTGTTTTGATTTACACATTACGGCATTTAATTGTTGTTAATCATTTGATGTTGTATTGAACCAAATTATATTTTCTTCGCAATGGGTTTCAGGCAAATTCAACGAAGTACTGGAGATCTTTTCCAAAATGCAAGATACTGGTGTACAACCTGATAAAGCTACATGCAACATTTTGATTGAGAAATGTTGCAAAGCAAGGGAAACATGGGCAATGATGAAAATTCTTCAATACATGAAAGAAAACTCTCTTGTGCTTCGTTATCCTGTATATCGGGAAGCGCTTGAAACTTTAAGAGTTGCTTGCCAGAGTGATGTCCTCCTGAGGCAAGTGAATCGTCATCTTTCTGTCGAACATAATGAAGAATTTAGTGCACCTAATAGTGATGCTCCCTCCATTATAGATCAGGGGCTTATTTTAAATTTGTTGAATAGGCAAAATTTTGTTGCTGTTGATCAGTTAGTTGCCGACATGATGGATAAGGCCGTTAAATTGGACTCCGGGATTGCATCAACCATAATTGAAGTAAACAGTGCTTCTTCCAGGCCTAATGGTGCTTTGCTGGCCTATGAATACAGTGTGAAAATGGGCATAAACATCAAGAGAACTGCATATCTTGCCTTGATAGGTGTATTTATCCGAACAAATTCATTTCCCAAGGTTGTGGAGATCGTTGAGGAACTGTTCAAGGAGGGACTTTCTCTAGGAACACATCTTAGTGCTCTTCTCATTTATAAGCTTGGCTGTGCCAGAGATCCTATTTCTGCTGCTAGGATATTTGATTTATTGCCTGATGATCAGAAAAGCACTGCTGCTTATACTGCTTTGATTGGTGCGTACTTTGCTTCTGCAAATGCTGGTAAAGGACTCGAAACATTCAAAATCATGAAAAGGGAAGGAATACGTGGTTCGTTGAGTACATATGATGTGCTATTAGATGGTCTTGAAAAGTACGGGAAAGCTGGTGAGTTAGAATATTATAGGAGGGAGAAAAAGAGCCTGCAAGCTGATGGCCATTTCCAAAGTGATGTTACCATGGAGGACAAGACATGCAACCTTCTATTTTCCGGGGCTGTGGTGTCCTGACATAAGAGTTAGGACCTTAGACAGAGACTTTCTACCAACTGCTACAAGATGTAATGGGCCGTGGGGAGGATTGCCATTGGTCCCTGAACCCAAACTCACGGAATTGCCTTGGTGGGATTCTCACTGTGCATGCTTAATAAAACATCCATGTCGTAGCTACAAGGAAAACAGATCAGACGCTTTGGTTCCTGAAGTTGTATTTTGTGGAACATTTACAGCTATTGAGGTAATTCATCTGTAGATTATTCAATTTTAGTGAGCTCCTCTTTTTTGAAAGGAATACCCTGCTATTTGCTTTCATTCATGAACCCTGTAAAACATCATGTCATCCATTAATATACTGTCGTCTGGATTGTCTGACCGTGAATTGTTTTGTGTCAAGAAACAACATCATATAGTTCAGGAAACCTGGCTAAAACATGAAGATTGCAGATTCCAAAACTAAATAGTCTGAATTGTTGACTTCTATGTTACATGGTTGATTAGAAAGATGAATCAGAAATCCCAGAGTTTTTTTTTTTTTTTTGGGATGACTAGGTTAAAAATATAAGACCACTGGGTGATGCTTTGTAGATAGTTGCTATATATCAATAGACTTGAGTTGTACGTAGTTCATTTCTTGTCCTCTCCGTAGGATAGATAGGACAACGTGCTATTGCTCAGTGGCCTCCTTAGTTTCAGTTTTGAGTCTCTCTCTCTATACCCCCTCCTTTCTCAGTGTGCGACATGAATGTCGTGAGTTATTGTCTTTGTTAAGGGAGTTGTCCCAGTTGGCAAAACGGAGTTTCTTACATAGTGGCATACCTTGTTTGGATTGTTGGCGTTGTCGTATGCAGCACCCCAAGCATATGTACCTCTCCCCTTTGATTGAAATACTCTGTGGAAGAATTGGATTCCTTCTTGTTATGGAGGGACTGCTTGGATCCATTACAGTATTGATACTATTCATTGCTCTAACCCCCTTTGAGCTATCTCCACCACCCTCACCTCCTTGAGCATCAATACCACCACTACTTGTAATTGTATGGCTATTGGTTATTACAATGAGTGGATACAGGGTAAACGAGGGATCTCCTGCTCCAGTTGGAGTTTTTTATGGGGAGTATTGTACTTTTTTTTTTTTTCCATTTTTTTGGGGGAGGAGAGGAGAGAGGGGGACTTGAACCTTTAATTTCAAGAAGACAAAGTCTTCATAAGATAAATAGTATCATTGGACCAAATGCTCATTCATTGGAGAGTATTGTACTTGCTATAGAATTTGTCTTAAAAAANGGGTAAACGAGGGATCTCCTGCTCCAGTTGGAGTTTTTTATGGGGAGTATTGTACTTCTTTTTTTTTTTCCATTTTTTTGGGGGAGGAGAGGAGAGAGGGGGACTTGAACCTTTAATTTCAATAAGACAAAGTCTTCATAAGACAAATAGTATCATTGGACCAAAGTCTCATTCATTAGAGAGTATTGTACTTGCTATAGAATTTGTCTTAAAAAATTATTTTCTTAAACTCTGATTTTGTGGGGAGACCACTCAAAAGATTCTGGTTTCCCATAATGGGGCCCACTTGGAAATTATCAACATCCAAGAGAAGTGCNACCACTCAAAAGATTCTGGTTTCCCATAATGGGGCCCACTTGGAAATTATCAACATCTAAGAAAAGTGCTNATTATTTTCTTAAACTCTGATTTTGTGGGGAGACCACTCAAAAGATTCTGGTTTCCCATAATGGGGCCCACTTGGAAATTATCAACATCCAAGAGAAGTGCTATGGAATGGATAACACGAGCTGTGGGCATCCAATACTCCAAAATTATTAAGCTAAAGTGAAGCATTTACATTCACGTCTACGTTTCTCTCGTCCAAATTGAATCTTCATGCGTCGATGCCAACATCCAATCCTTATTTTTATTGATGTTATCTCTTTTGTTATAACAAATTGTAGTTTATGATATCAAAAATAATATCAGAAGNTGCCAACATCCAATCCTTATTTTTATTGATGTTATCTCTTTTGTTATAACAAATTGTCGTTTATGATATCAAAAATAATATTAGAAATAAGTATTAAGTATATATTTTCATATCTTGTCTGAAAAAAGGCTCAATAATGAAGTCTGACCCTTGACCTCTAGTTGTATACCTCTTAAACACAGATTATAGTGTCCAAGTCGTCCACGACCTCAAACAAAGATGACTAGGTCGTCTTTATCATCTCACGGGAAAGTTTAATACTTTTAGCTCAGGTCAAGATTATAGATCGAGTTCTTTTATTCACAAGCTGACCAAAAGAACAAGAGGTCATCCCAAGAGAATAACCTCTCATAGACGTGAAGGATTACAACATATCCAAGCTTGGACAAGGGTATTGATATCATCTCATCATGTTTTNTCATCCCAAGAGAATAACCTCTCATAGACGTGAAGGATTACAACATATCCAAGCTTGACAAGGGTATTGATATCATCTCATCATGTTTTAAAAAGTCACGTCACACTTAGAATATGTAGTCTCTAACGGCCAAATATTCTCTTAAAACTTAACAAACTAAAGAACAATGTGATGATGACGTGAGGACCACCCCACTTGTGGGTATAAATGCATGAGGCAATGACCCACACACACACACACCAATTGTAATCCAAAAGGCTATAATCTCTGTCTTCTTCCACAAACAATAGAAAAATCCCAAAGGAGCAAGAGACTCCGTTAGAGTGGGCTAGTCAAACTCTTCAGNGTATAAATGCATGAGGCAATGACCCACACACACACACACCAATTGTAATCCAAAAGGCTATAATCTCTATCTTTTTCCACAAACAATAGAAAAATCCCAAAGGAGCAAGAGACTCCGTTAGAGTGGGCTAGTCAAACTCTTCAATTGGTGAACCATTGTATTCTCTGTTCTCCCTTATGTTCTAGCTCGAACCTTTTTTTTGATCAATCAAACAAGCATCATAAACTTTCATTAAGTTGAAAAATTCAGATTACAATCAGTCAAAAGCAAAGCCTTAAGCTCGGGAGGAGGAGAGCCTAACCAATTTGACAGAAGCAAATTGTTTAGTTTAGCGGCTGCAACCCAATGAACAGCCTTGTTACATGCCCTAGGCTTGTGTAAAAAGTTAAGGTTATATACCCTTGTAAAGTATCTAATAACACTGATAATAACGTTGACTTCCCATAGAGGCACATCTTCGNCCTAACCAATTTGACAGAAGCAAATTGTTTAGTTTAGCGGCTGCAACCCAATGAACAACCTTGTTACATGCCCTAGGCTTCTGTAAAAAGTTAAGGTTATATACCCTTGCAAAGTATCTAATAACCCTGATAATAACGCTGACTTCCCATAGAGGCACATCTTCGTTTGAGCTAAGCTTGATAATGTTCAAACAATCGTTAAGAATTGTAGCATTAGTGAGCAGTTGGGCTTCGGCAAGAATACACGCTTGTCTCACTGCTTCTACTTCCGCAAGGAGACTCGATCTAGCAGGGAATGACTTTGCACTGCCAAAAAGGAGCTCTCCCCTTTCCTTACATGCCACCACACCACAAGCTGCATTAACAGAGTTTGGCTTGAAGGCTCCATCACAACATATAATGACCTCCGCCCCTGCTTCCTGTCTTCTTTCCTTCCTTGCCACTGAATCTTCTTGGCCTTTCATCGTTTCCTTGGATCCACACCTCAACAGATCACTCCACATACTTTGTGCTCGAATGACTGTAGCCAAGGCGTTAACCTCTTCTCTATTGAATATAAAATGGTTTCTCACCTTCCAGATAACCCATCCCACAGTGGCCATCTTCCCCAACACTTCCATTCTACCATTAACTTCCTTTACCAATTGCAAAGCCATAGATGATCTTTTAGCCACCGACATAAATGAAGATGCCTCCCACTGAACATTAAGATCCATGTCAAACCAAACTCTAGAGGTCCAGTCACACTCAAACAGAAGATGTTCAATGGACTCAGGGACTAGGTTACAAATTTGGCAGATAGGAGATGATGCACACTTCCTTTTGAAGAGGTTTTCGTGAGTAGCCAGAGAGTTATGACATGCTTTCCACCAGAATTGTTTTACCTTCGGCACAACTTTCATGTTCCAGATACACTTCCACAGGTTAGGATGGATGGAATCAGAGGAGCTAACCTCTTGCAGACTCAAAGCAAGTTTATTCTCCAGTCTGTACCCAGATTTAACAGTAAAATCACCCTTGTAATTTGGCCACCAAACTCTTTTATCTTCCCTCCCTTTGGCTGGCAAAGGGATGGCATGGATAGCTTTTGACTCCTCACTTGAGACCAGACAGGAAAAAGAAGCAGAATTTCACCCATAGGTCTGTCTGAGATATATCTGCAACTTTGGTGACATTGCACTCTTGGGGCTTTGGGGACTGTAGTGCCAAGCTAGGAAGACAAGAAATCCATTTATCCTCCCAAAAATTAACATTAATTTCATTATCAACCTCCCCACATGATTCCTTTGGCCAATAGATCTCTCTCATAAAGGAGACTCCTCCAAACCCATGAGGGTCTCGTTCCACATTTTGCCTTCATTAAATCCACCTCAGGAAAATAAACTGCCTTCATGAACTTTGCCTTTAGAGAGATGGACTCAAACTTACGATTCCTACTGCATTTTATAGAGCCACCAGGCTCTACTTCTCTTTGATCGCTCATGTTGTTCTTACCACAATCACTATCTCATAGCCTCACGCTTCTCAACTTAAGCACTTAACTCACGTCTTTGAGTTTTTAACATCATCAATCGTGCAATTGCAAAACTTTGGATTGAAATAAATGAAATAAAATTACGTACACTTGATCTTTCTTATATAGAATGTATCTCAAGTAACAGATATTTGTAGTGGGTAAATTACAATGACGTTGTTTTTGAAATTTGCTCTAATTATCCTTCTACCTCTTAATATTATATTATTGATATAGAGAGCCCGAATTTCAAAGTTGGAACAATAAGATCTCATTACCTGAAAAGTTAAAACATCGACAAAAGTAAAACTCTAAATGCAAATATTTCTCTTAAATTTTATATTTCAATATAGTTTGACTAAATTTAACAGCTAAACAAGATTAAAATATGCATGTATCTCTTAGTGTGCATTTATAAAACGAAAAATGTGGAGGGTAAATGAATTATTACTCCAAAAATACGTCTAAGAATGTTCGACTAATAAACTCATATTTTAAAGGGTGTCATTATAATTTTCGCATACCCTTAAGCTATAACCTTGCTCAAATTTGTGAAGATAGCTTCCAAAGCCTCAACTATAGAAACCCCCCATGGACCTAATTGGAAATCTCTTTCATTGGGACTTGGTATTTTTTGTTTTTTGTTTTTTATTTTTAAGACCTCAAAAAAAAAGAGTTAATGTTTTAAAAATTGATGAGTTGGGTTAAGTTTGATTAATTTTTTAATTTTAACTCAAAAAT